ATGGTGGGTAACACCCATGTGTATGTCCTCTGTGGTTAGGCCTGTATGTCTTCCCTCACTGGATTGTGGAGGTGGGAGAGCAAGTTCTTCCCCTGATATTGGGTGACAGGTGTCGGGTGGTCAAGATCCCTCCACAGCCCTTGTGGGACCATGAGGTCTTTCCAAGTTGGTGCTAGCAGTTAGTGCGTTCTCTGGAGGTCAGGTCAGGACATCTCCATGTCTGCTATGAAGGAGTGCTATCCAAATGGATGGGGCAAGCCCACTGTTCATGCACAAATTGGCATCTCAGTAGGTGATGGGGTATCGAGAGCTTTCAGTGAAAGCACAGATGACCTGCAGGAACTGTTTGAGTAGGGGATGTGTGATAGTACAGCTGGGCAGATGGTGGATGTGGGTACTAGGAGCTCCTGCTCATTGTTTGGCAGGGGTGAAAGTGGTGCCTGTCAGGATGTGACTGGTATTGCTGATGAGGTGATGTGTCTGTTTGGCCAGTCACCAGGGCATGGGTGCAGTGACCATTCTTGCCAGTCCTGGATTGAGCTCTGTATGTGTGTACCACTGGTTGCTAGGTAGTAAGGGTGAGTGTGCACATTTTACCAGTCACCAGGTGGTTGGGCCAGGCTCACACAAGAAGTATGAGTTGCTTGCACCTCAGGAAGGAGTGGTTGGTTGGGCCAGGCTTTAACACACACATGGAGTGCCTGCACCTCAAGGAGGGAAAGATAGGCCTGTCTGGGCTTGTAACCTTCAGTGAGGGCTTCTTGCACCTCAGGGAAATGTGATGGGTGTGGTTGCACTTGCACACATGAGTTAGGTCCTTCTGTGTCTCAGAGAGGGGGGTGGCGGACATGACCAGGCTTGTGCAGATAAGTGCAAGCAGCCTGCTCCTCCAGGAGAGGGTGGTGGGTGTGGCTGGGCTTGTGTGCCTCAGCAAGAGCCTCCTGTGTTTCAGGAAGGGCATAGCTGGCATTGCCAGCTTTGAGCTTTTCTCTCTACTCCTCAGGGAGAGGCAATGGCTCTGGTTGGGCTTTCCTGTATCAGGTAGGGCCTGCTGTGTCTCAGGGAGGAGGTGGTGGGCGTGGCCAGGCTAGCAAGTACAAGTAGGAGTAGCCTGCGCCTCCTAGAGGGGGTGGTAGGCGGGGTTGGACTTGAAAGCACAAGTGTAAGCCTCCAGGAGAGGGTGGTGGGTGGAGCTTGGGAGTATAAATGCAAGCAACCTGTGCCTCAGGGAGGGGGTGGTGGGCGGGACCAAGCTTGTGAGGCTTGGGTCAGTGTGCTTGCCCCTCAGGGAACATTGTAAGGCTGATGGCAGGTGGGGTTACTGCTTGTGCAGGGCCAATTCTGGGGTGGGGGTTCTAGTTTTTCTCAGGGTTAACTTTTCACTGAGTGGCTCCGATATAAATGGCCGGGTGCCTCCACCAACAAGCAGTCCCTGCACTAATACCTAGCTTTCTCCCTTCTTGAACTCACCAGAGGGGCTGGAGCTCTCACCTGCTGCTCTGTTTCTCTACTCCTCCGTAATTGTGCACTCCCTGTTTACACTTTCTCCCTCTCTAGGGCTCAGAGAACTCAGTCTGTTTCACTTGTTTTAGAGGCACTTCCCCATAGTTTCCTAATTTCAAAGCTATACCACTCCTGAGCTTCCCCCAGGGGTGCCCTGTCCCTGGTTGCATCCTACCTACCTTGTTTCTGCCCTGGTTGTTTGCACAGAATGTCTGCCACTAACCTTGCTCTCTTTGCAGTCGTTTTCCTGGGTTCCTCACTCTGGGTTGTAGTTCAGATGCCATCCCAAAATGACCACGCTGCTTGCTCCCTGCCCACCGGCAGGCCAGGCGCAGTCGATCTGCGAATCTCTATTTTCCTGCTGAACTCGTCCTGTCTGTCCTTCCAAACGGTGCTCACCTGTTTCTTTAACTCTCTGCTTGATGCTCTGGGACCCCATGTCATTTCTTGTGTCTATTTTACCTAGTTTCTCAAGTCTTTTTTGTCAGGGGGTCGTTATGGTGCATATGTCTAAGGCACTGTATTGACCAGAACTCCTCTGCCCCATAGAGTTTTCTTGGCTGCAATCTTTATGGAAAAAGCCCTGGTGTTGGCAGTGATTAAGCACTCTGCAGCTCACCAAAAGGTTGGCAGTTCAAACCCTCCAGCCACTCCATGGGAGAAAGATGTAGCAGTCTGCTTCCGTAAACACTCCAAAAAAAAAAAAAAAAATCCATTGCCATCAGTTCGATTCTGACTCATAGTGACCATACAGGACAGAGTAGAAGTTCCCATAGGGTTTCCAAGGAGTGGCTGGTTGATTCAAACTGCCAACCTTTTTGTTAGCAGCCTCTCTCTTAACTCCTGCACCAACAGGGCTCCTCTGTAAAGATTACAACCTTGGAAACCCTATGGGACAGTTCTTCTCTGTTCTATAGGGTTGCTATGAGTCGGAATTGACTCCATGGCAATGTTTTTATTCCCCCCACCCCCCGCCAGTCTTTGTCAGGTCTTTCTTCCACGGAGCCTCTGGGTGGATTTGAACTGCCAAACTTTCAGTTAGTAGCCAAGCGTCATAAGCATCAAGGAGTCAAAAAAGGGCTGGAGAAGAAGGCTGTAATGTGAACAGAGGTGTGCAATAGGAAGCTGTGAGCAAGAATATTGGAGCAGGACATGCTAGGAAGCTTTTTTAAAGGTTTAGGAGGGCGATATAAGTAGATATTACAAAGATAGCTTCAACAGAACTTGGCAACTTTTTAGATGAGTGAAGCGAGGGAGATTCAAGTAAGATTCAAAACTTTCTGACTGTTTAATTGGAAGGACGATAGTGCCATTAAAAGAAATAGGCAATACAGAAGGGTAGGTTTTGGAAAGAAAATTATATATGTAGATGAAGATCCAGAATTATAATTCAGGATACTAATAGGACACAAGGTATGCAACCACAGTAGTGGAGGTTGGGAGAGATTTAGAGATACAGCCCTGTGATCACTGTGATTTGTGGTCTTAAATCCTGTGATCTGATGAATTTTTTGAAGAAAATATTATAGAGAGGTAAAAGAAGATGACTCAGGATAGACAGTTGGGTGTGTCTACATTTTTTGTGTTAGAAAGAAAGCAGAAGAATAGCTGAAGAGAAAGGGGAATTGTTAAAGAGATGAGGAAAAGCCTAGCATCATGAAAGTCAATATAGGAGATAGTTTTAAGGAGAAAGTGCCCATGAATGTCAAATGTCTACCTTCAAATGCTGCAGTGCTTTTTGAAGGATGGGAGCTAAGAAAAAGCTATGGATGTCTCAAGGAGCCCTGGTGGCACAGTGGTTAAGCACTCAGCTGCTTAACTGAAAGGTCAACAGTTTGAATCCTCCAGCTGTTCTGGGAAAGAAAGATGTAGTTGCCTGCTTCCATAAAGATTTACAGCACTGTAAGCCCTATGGAGCAGTTCTATAGGGTCACTATGAGTCGGAATCAACTCGACGGCAGTGGGTTTGTTTTCTGGTTTGTTTTTTGGTTTATGGATGTCTCAAACTGATAGCATTGTTTATTTCCCAAATGCAGTATAGACACAATGTGACACAGTGGAAAAAGGTGGGGCATTAAGTCAGAGGAGCTAGAGTCAAATTCTGACCCTGTGCGGTTGAGCTATGCGATTTGGGGGAAAATTACTTGATCTCTCTGAGCCTCAGTTTCCTGACTGTAAAACAGGGATAATACCACTCAATGGGCTGTAGTGAGATTAAATACAATTAAACAGCTTATGGATGAGAGGTTGTTGGAAATATGTCTTTTAAGAAAACTCTCTTTGAATTTGTACCCCATTTGCTTTCTTTTAACTTCCAGATGATCATGTGTTATGGAAAACCATTATCTGGATTCATGAGTAGTTAAATTAATTAATCATAACAATGTATTGCAAATAATTGATCCTTCCTTGTGTGGAGCTGAGTGTAGGAGGGGGAAGAAGAAACACGGCTTACTCTTGAAGGTCAGGCAAAGCAAATGGTCAAGACACACGATGTCAACAAATCCAGATTGGTCTGAATGAAGACTGTATGTGCCTCTGGGAGTAGGGCAGGAACCACTGTGTCCGTCATGCTTGACTTTTTATCCCCTAATGCCTAGTAAAATATTCTGTTCATAATAGATATTCAGTAAATCTTTGCCAAACACATAGCGGATTTGAGAGATCGGGGTGTAAGGTAGTGCACGTATCAGGTAAAAGAATAAAGTGCTAGTGGAAGCAAGAAAATAAAATGGAAGATGATACGATCTACTGGGATGTTGGTGGCAAGTGACTAAGCAAGCGTATATGCCAACATAATTGTCACAAATACAATATTGTATATACATACCACAAGATAAACAGATCACAAAAACCAGGGGCCAATCTCAGAATCAAAAAGAGGAAAAAATGTGTCATATGTCAACCCAAGTCTCATGCTGTTTTAAAGTTCTATATAATAACAATTGAATGAAGCTATTACTTACACTCATATCTGTTCTTATTAGTGAGTAGAGAGTAAAGTAATATGATGCTGGATGTCATTGGCATGGAAGTTAACCTTTTGTTTTTATTAGGAAGCAAGAGGAGGGCAATCAATAAACACTGCAAGCAATGGTAACGTGACTAGCCTGCAAACGTGTGGATGTCTCGGAATGTACAATGTAGAACAGTGCTAAGACTCCATACAGATAAAAATGCAAATGAGGAAATATTTATTATTGTGAAAAGATAGTATAATTCCACGTTAAACTATCCTAAGGTTTCTTTTTCTCTTGAGTCTGTCGCCTATGCTACCTTCATCCAGATGAATAAGAGGAAGCTAGGGCTCTGCTGTGACGTTCTTTTAAACAATCACATGCAACACTGACTATGCAAAAAGGGAAAGGGTGTTTGTTAAAAAAACAAGATCCTGAGGTTTATATATTTCTTTTGTAGACACTCTGATTCAGTTGGTTATTCACCCGTTCTCCTTCTCTCACCCTCCACCTACGCACCTCCTGCTCCCTCCCTCACAGGCCGTGGTACATGTTCCTGTGGTCACTGCATTTGTGAGAAAGGATGGTTTGGGACCCTCTGCCAGCACCCGCAGAAGTGCAACATGACGGAAGAACAAAGCAAGAGTTTGTGTGAGTCAGCAGATGGCATATTGTGCTCGGGAAAGGGTGAGTATCTGTGCCGGTGCTTGGACTGGATTCCTGATCTGACACATGGTTTGTAGAGCGGCAAGTAGCAACCATCTTTTCTAGACTGCACTCTGTGTGAATGAAAACCACGTCGTCCTCAGCCTGCGCCACATTTTAAGCTTGAAAATAAACCACATGACGTTTAGGATCTAAGAAAATGAAATGTGTGAGATGAGTTTTGTACAAAATGATTTTCAGTCACTTGTGAGCAACATTATTGCTGAATAAAATTAGTGCTTTTGTTAAAAAAAAGAAAAGAAAAGAAAGGACAACATAATATAGTGGGCACTTAAAGGACCAAAAAAAAAAAAAAAAAAGCAAAAGCAAAGGATACTTTCTGAGTTCACTTCCGAAATAGCACAGCCCAGAACGGCAGTGATCACAATTGACTGAACTGCCAGCAACTCTCCCTACTGAAACTTCTGAAGGTAAATTATGTCGATAAATGTGTGTGAAAGAGGCGGGCTGGAGTGTTAAAAAGACATAAAAGGAGACTAAATGTTTAGTTTCATTAAAAAGAAAAAGTATGTAAATCCCAAAATTTTGGTGCAATTTCCTTTGCACTAAAAATCGCCAATTATTCCAAACGTGCATGTATAATCTAATATAAAAAAAATTAATGATAAATGGTTATAACCTACAGGTTGGTTGACAAGAAGTCCCTCACCCAATCAAGCATTTACCACAGAAACAGACTCAAGAAAAAGCAACTCTTCTCAATACCCTTCCCCCAACACACACACGCGCACACACACACACTCTTAGACCTGAATTCTTTTGGGGGGCAAAGCATATTTCTAGATTAAATTGTGGACACCTTGATTTTGATTTTTCAGTACAAATTTCTTGAAGGGACTTTCAAAATCATGCTGTCATGGTGCATATGGCACCATCTAAGATGATGTCATGCTCTTCTTTACTAGTGCCCAGGAACCCACAGGAAGTGCACAGGATTCTCACGGAATCTTCAGGCACTGACCTGTATGGAGCTGTGTTTTAAGGAGCTTCTCCACCCTCCTCTTCAACTCAGTAGCCTCCATGCTCCTTTGTAGGCAGACAACCCCTCTTTTCAGACAAGCAACAGCCTTGGCTATAGCTGTACCTATCCTCAAACATCTACCCTGGGTCAGGATTAGCATTTAAATATCTTTTTGAGGAAGACAAAGTGAAGTAAATGTGAATCAGATAGACAGTCTAGTGTCACTATAGACCCTCACCAGTGACACTGGGGTACATGAAGGAGTACTTGGAATCAAGACGTGCCATGGGTAATGTGGCCCTAAATGGCGGATATTCCTTAACCTGTCCCTCAATGTAAATGCTATCAGGTTGAAAGAGGCTTTGTGACAGAACTTCAAAGTCAAAAGCAGACGGATGCTGTGACCACATATGGTGCTGGAGGAAGGTTGGAAATCGATGCAGACAAACCTATTTCTATAGACAACCATGTCCTTGGCTTCCAGAAAATGTGTGCTTGGGATTTGTGTTTTCAGTGCTTAGAAAAAGAAGCCATCAACCTAATGCAATTACAGCAGTCAGGTGGTACTCTAACAAGTTTAAAGAAATCAGTTTGTTCCTCCATTACATTCAATCTAATCCAAGCCCTGAACAAACCTTCCACCAGTTCTGTTCTCTGGGGGCCTTGGCTCCTAAAACACCTGCTCTTGGTTGAAGCTGTGCTGGCAGATCCAAAAAGGGGGCAAAAGACGTTAGAAGAGAAAGACGAAGGGTGGCAAGGGGAAGGACCTGAGAGGAAGAGGTCAACAATGAAAAGCAGGAGAGTAGGTAGGGATGGAATTAGCCTGTGAGGGGGAAGTATAAGGGGGGAAAGGAAATGCCATCAGATCGGAGAGTGACTTAAGTTTAGAAACTATACTGAGGATGGTTCATTTTTCTGCATCAGGTATATTATTTTTATGAGCATTAGGCAGTTATTTCCAAACACAGATATCTAAAATTTAGGTATTTTTTGGTAAGTTTTTCCATAATAGCAGTATCACTGGAGTAAAGATATAAACTTTTCACAGAAACTCAACCCAATGAGAACACCTATTTATACTAAAACACTACAGTGCTTGTTTACATTTATTTAGTTTAAAAGTCAGCCAGTGTGTGCATGTGTGTTTATTAGACAAACCAGCAAACCATTAAAATTGTCCGTTAGCAGGTCTTCACTAAGTCGTATCCAATTGCAGGTATAGGACAAGCATACACAGCCATGCTCACCAGATTAGTTTCAGTGTCAAGAAATAAGCATTCTAATTAAAGTCATTACATTCTGGGGAGAAAGTCTCAATTTTTAGCATCATAAATGTAGAAAATGCCAAAAAAAAAAAAAAAAAAACCCATTAACTCAATATTGACCCAAAGACATTTCCTGGAATAAAACAAAGCAAAATCTCTCTGGTTACTGCTTTTCAAATTTTTTGCTTTGGGTGGTAGAAATATATCCAGACTTCAGTAAAGGATTGAAAAGCATATTTGCCTTAAAATACATGTGTATCCTTCCGTGGGTACAGACTGGAGAGTTTTAGAGTCTTTAAACTCAAAACGGAACGTAAAAGCTGCCCCAAGGCTGCACATTTTAGTGCTCATGCTAGCAATGGGCATTCATAACGTAGGCACCAGTTGGATGCTGGCTGCTTTCTTTCATCCTGTTCTGGAGATATCAGTACTGGGTTGTAGATGAAGAAAGGGACTACTCGTTGCTGTTGAGTCGATTCTGACTCATAGTGACCCTATAGGACAGAGTAGAACTGCCCCATAGGGTTTCCAAGGAGCAGCGGTTGGATTCGAACTGCCCACCTTTTGGTTAGCAGTAGAATGTTTAACCACTGTGCCACCAGGGCTCCAGAAAGGGACTAGGACCGAGATAATGGAACTGTGATCTATCATAGGCACAGAGGATGGTGGGGGTGGTGAGGTTACTCCTGCTCACTACGGAGAGTACCCTCCTGCACCCCACCCTGAGACCCACAGGAAAAGTAGCTCACAAAGTTGAATAAGACTCTTCAACGTGATAGTCAAAAGAGAAATCTGTTCCAAATTATTTGACTGGGACAATGTACTTTTTTGATAGATCTCATGGTCTTGTCAGAATCCCCTATAATTTTTTCTCAGGCTTTTCAGTGCAAACCCCTGACCCTGATTATCTCAAAGGACGTCTGGAGTGTTTTTCCTCTCTGATTATGGAGCAGATGTGAGCAGTGGCATTGAGAGCGTCATGGCGCACCACTTAGTGGCCAGTACAGAGCCAAGTGTTTCCACACAGAGACTAGTCTGAAACACGCCCTTCCGGTGAGCTGTGAATAAAGCTGTCACCTCAGGAGACGATGAAGAAATAGCGTTTTATTTCTTTACAAATTTATAGCCAAGACAATAAATCACTCCATAGAAAAATTTAAAACAAGATACATTGTTGTGACCTTCATAACAGATGGAGTAGTTAGGACAATAGTGAAAACTGCCTGCTGGGGTGTCAGGTTGCAGCATTTTGCCAGGCTCGATGAGTGGAAAAGAAATGCCGATGTGATCAATGGGGCAACTGACAAAGGTGCCTTGCCCTTAGGCTCAAATCGTTTTTGTGAATACCCAAAAGAGATGAGTTTAGTGGCCAGGTCTGCCCTACGTTTAGCTACCTTTACAGAATACATGGTATAGTTCATACGCTTTTGTTTGTTTGCCCGGGGATTTATTTATTTGGATCGAAGAGTACACACAAGAACACTTTCGCCTTGATTGCTTGCAGCTAGATCCAGGTAATCACCTCCAATACTTTTAAAGACGCTGCTGTATGGCAATGGCTTGACACGTCTGTCATTAAAGGTCTTCTTAAACCCTCACGATGGTACTTGTAGGGTCCCACATCATCCTGATAAGTCCATAGTACACACACACACACACACACACACACACGCACGCACACACCCACCATCTCCACCACTCCAAGAGAAGAGTAAGTGCCAAAATTTTGCTTTGTAAAATTTACCTTAGCCAAGTGTTCTAGCTATCTCATCCAACCTGGCTGTCTACTCAGCTCTGCAGGAACAAACAACTCATGTTTAAAGCGATATGAATGTTTTTACTGTGAGAGGCATCACAGATAAGTGAACACAAGAGTACACTGAAGCAAATCAAACTCTTAGGTTAAATTTGTGGTTTGTTGCCTGTGGGGCTTGGGCAATTTGCTTATCCTGTCTGTATATACTTCCATTTTCTCATCTTTCGTGGCAAAAGAACTTTATTCTCTCCCCTTCTTAAGTCATAGGATGCTCTGAGGACAAGTGGCTGATTCCCCAGGAATGGAAGCCAGTAAGAGGCACAGGGATTCAGAGCATTCTTAAGGGTCCTTATACTGAGAAAGTGCATGGATTAATGGTGCTGTGAACACGGACTTACTGCACTAGAACTCTTGAGAAGACCAGCCAGCTGCTCCCCTGGGCTGGACTGAGTCTCAGGAGCATAACTGAGTCCCAGCCAGCTGAGCTGAACAATTGCCCACCTTTTGACAGTCATGTAGCCTATGTCTGTCTGACAATCCCCTTCCTAAATGTATCCCTATCCTGAGAGGCAATTTGACCCCTGTTTTTGATTAAAACAGCCAGAGCTCTCTATAAGAAGGTGCTATAATTGGTCCTATTAACTCTCACACTGTGCTATTGTTACATGCTATGCAATTCCTAGTATCACAAGCAGTAGAAAAATTTCCTATCTCTAAGACGCACTGAACATTGACAAGGAGGAGAGCACAGCACAGTTGGAAAAAAAGGCTGACTTAAAGCTAGTGTTTTATGGGATATACAAAGTCAGTCCTCATTTTTCTTTCCAAAATGTTCAGTTACTAATAACTTTGGGAAGTGGAATTGACTCTCCAAATGGTCTATTAATATATACCTCATTAACTTTTAGGTGAGCTTACCAGTTTTAGGAAAATACTTTGCTATGGCCTGAAGCTAAAGCATTCCCAAAGGAAGAGCAGTTATTGGAACAGTTCTAAAGCCAGGGGTTGAGTTTTAAGGTGAAATGTGAGATCTGTTCATGAATTGTAACAAAATTTAAAAAATATAAATAAAAAAATATTCTATGTGTCATACCTGAATATCGTGGAGTACGCTGATGTATAAAACCATTTACTGTTGTTGTAGAAATAATGTTGCAATGTAAAGGAGAAATTATTTTAGAAACAACTAAAAACAGGCAAATTCTCCAAATAATTAATCTTCCTCTAATGATGGAAACCGTGGTGGTGTAGTGGTTAAGTGCTACGGCCGCTAACCAAAAGGCTGGCAGTTTGAATCCACCAGGGGCTTCTTGGAAACTCTATGGGGCAGTTCTACTCTGTCCTACTGGGTCTCTATGAGTCGGAATCGACTCAAGGGCAACAGGTAATGATGGAAATAAAACACTAAGTAGGATGCCTTCTGAGAAAAGTTGTCTGGCGGTCAATGACACACCACGAGTTTTCCTCATTAGCAGAGGTTTGCTAATCATTTGTTAAGCAGTTGAGGGTTGAACAATTCCATGCCTGGAAATTTGAAAGAAAGTCTTTAAAATCAGGAGAAAAAAATTTGTACCATAAGGAAATTTTGTACCTGGATGAGGCCAAGAGGGAGCCACCATTCCTTGGAGACTGACCTAGGAGAGCCAGCTCACTGGGTCCTGAGAAGCCACCAGGCTCTCACTCATCAGAACTGACATTTGTCTAGATTTTGCCCAAGAACATGAAAATCAGCCTAGACACTCAGGAACATAAGTCAAGAATAAGTAAAATCATGCTGTGGCCAAACAAGAAGTTAAAAATAATTAGAAATACAATTCTTAGCATATAAATGTATCTCCCTTGCTTTGAGAAGTGTGGCAAGGAATGATGAGAGTTTAATTTGACCGTTGGGAATTCTTACAGCTAAAATGCATATAGCAGTTTCCATGACATGAAATATCACATAGTGTTCATGCTTAGGACACATTGATGTGACTCCTTTCGTAAAATGCCAACAACTATAACTTCCCTAATCATGTTAATCATCCAGATTATTAACCCATTTTTAAATACTAGATTGTTTAGATTATTTCCTACTTCCCCTCCCCCAGTATATTCTGAATTTATCAAGTCTGGAATTTGGTTAAATATGTCAAGATTTTGTCTACTCATTTTCTCTTAAAGTGATTTTTGACCTGAAAATATTAATGATACCCCTCTTTCGGAAACAGGGAAGCATACTAGGAAGGAACAAGCAACTCTAGCAAATGCAAGCAAGAAGAAATCCTTTGTGTGTTTAATTTTAAGGTTACCAGCATTCTTGGCTGTCATTACTGCTGTTGTAGAAGTAATTTTGCCACGTGAGGACTCATCACCTGTTATATAAAGACTTTTAGACTGAGAGAATTTTCTTCTCTTTGTGAGACCATTTAAACAATATATTTTCTTTGCTTTTAAAGATATCATTAATAAAATTGTTGCTCAGTAACCCAACCTATTTTAATACCCAAAGGGGAAATTTTTTAATTTGGTAGGAAATCATAGGAGAAATGCGAGAAACAGTGGGAAAGGTGGTCAAACTTGGAACCTCATAAAGTGTGAACATTTTGAGGGGGGTTAATTATGACAGGGACTCCTGAGGACAGGTGTCTGATAAGCAAAACATACATGCCCTATTGTGTGTGCATTTTCAGCAGTTCAGTTAGGCACTTAATATACAGGCATGCCCCTACTTTCAGAAAACCATGTAAACAAAACTCCAAAATTACAAGTACAATAATTTGGAAGTCGTTTTGATTATAAGGTGCATCCTCACTTAATAGAACTTATTATTAGATTCCTTTAAATAGCAGACACTTTTAAAGCATAATTCAATTTAAAGAATAATACAGTTATTTTTTAACTCCTTTTGGAAAGGCTATCTACAAGAATTAGCCACGTTTCACCCTCATTGACATTTTCTCCAGACTCAGCCAGGGAACATTTGCTCAAGGCTAGTTGCAACTGTCTAGATCTATAATGAAGCCTTTCCTGGATAACCTTTGTGAATTATAGTCAGGAAAGCCCCCCTCTGAGCCACCGGGTATTCAAAAAGCTTTTACCTTTGTCAGTGCATCGACCATATTCTATTCTAGACTGAAACCTTTAGTTATACAGGGTCTGTGACTAATACTCTTTGTAATTTCAGGTTCTTGTCACTGTGGAAAGTGCATTTGTTCTACCCAGGAATGGTACATTTCCGGGGAATTCTGTGACTGTGATGACAGGGACTGCGACAAGTATGATGGTCTTATTTGTACAGGTGCAGTATTAACCCACTCTTCTTCGTTCTATGCCACAGTTTACAATAAAGCCAGATTATATCCACCACATAATGCTTTGGATGGAAGAACAGGAGAACTTCCATGTAATCAAGATCCATCGCTTCCTATGAAGTAACTAAACAAGGGGAGGCGGGCATTGGGAATAAGCCAAATTATTCCCAGGAATAGAAGAATATAAAAGAACGAAATCAATTGGTATGATTGTTGGGAAACTTCCACAAAGTAGTTTCTCTTGCCCTCCCTCTGCCCCTGAAAAGTCACACCTATGAAGGTAAATATTGACGAGAGGAAAGAATTATCTTGATAACCATTTTATTGTGAGCATCGTGCAGGTACTAGAATATCACTTTAAACTGTACCCAATTACCAACAGTTCAAAGATGGTTGAAGTGTTGGTTGGTTGTTTTTAGGGAATGATGCGCGTGCGTGTGTATGCGCGCGCGCAGAGGTTATGAAACAGACTGAGAAGTGTAATAACTACTGTTATCCTAAGTTTTCAGCCTTAATAATTGCTTATAAAATGTATTAGCAAGTTAGAAGGGAAATAAAGAAGTGTGTGTTTGTTCTTCTGGTGTCTAGCTTAAGATAAAAGGTGGCTATTTGTGTCATTAAGCTAGACATTCATTTTCTGCCCCTCCTTACAAGGTTCCTCTTCTAGATATTTCTTGGCTTGCCTTGTATTATGTTAAGCAGCTTTATTTTTTTTCGATATTTATTCATAAGTCAGATATAACTAGCTCTCTAACGGAAAGCAAAAATACCACATGGGAGTCGAGCTGGAACAACACAAGATGGTTACTATTTGATGGATAGTAGGAGCTCGGCTGCTAACCAAAAGGTCAGCAGTTCGAATCCACCAGCTGCTCCTTGGAAACTCTATGGGGCAGTTCTGCTCTGTCCTGTAGGGTCGTTATGAGTCAGAATTGACTCAATGGCAAGGGGTTTGGTTTTTTGGTTTTATATAGATGATGGTACCAAATAAATGCCATTAATTGTTTAAAAGATCAAATTTCTCGTAGCTACTTAATAAAATGTAAAGACCTCTGCACAATAAGAAAATTGTTGAAGATCAATAAAATGGTTTTTATTATGGACAGATGTGGTTAATTGTAACATTTTAACTTGCTGCATTTATATCATGATAATGATCTTTCTGTACATTTTATTGCAGGGAATGGAATATGTAGCTGCGGAAACTGTGAATGCTGGGATGGATGGAACGGAAATGCTTGTGAAATCTGGGTTGGCACAGACTATCCTTAACGGTCACATGGGAGAGGACTGGATTCTTCATTTCCGTAGACCAATAGAACATATAAATGCAAAGGAAGCCATGTATAATCACCACTAGGACAGGTCAAACAGACTATTGTATGTTTTTCTATTTCTGAATGCCTGAAAGAGATCTGGGTACCCATTAGTAATAAGCTATGCAAACTCGGATGCAAATAACACTAGAGAGAATTTCCCTCCCATAATTACATCAGTGGTTCTCAACTAGGACAATTTTGCCCCAGAGAAGACATTTGGGAATGCTTGCAGACAATTTTGATTGTTACACTGGGGAAGGTGATGTTACTGGCATCTAGTGGATAGAGGCCAAGGATGCAGCTAAACATCCTACTATGTACAGGACAGCCCCACATCAAAGAATTATCTGACTCCAAATGTCAATAGTTCTGAAGTTGAGAAACCCTGAATTACATGGTTGTTAGAAATGCACATCTCTAAGCAAGAAAGACCCTATTAGAATCTAAGGGAAAGACATATCCCACATAAAGCCACTGATCAGATTTTTCTGGAATTCCACATCACACAGTTTCCGTAGGAGAACAATGAAGACAAATGCATATGAGCAGCCACGTCAGGGGACAAGACCAGAGGTAGACCAGATCACTGGTGCTTTAGAAGGGAAAAAACTAGTCATTTTTAGCCATTTATTTGTTGGTCAACTCTCACTTTAACCTCATAAAAGAAGAATCTTTAAGATGAAGAAAGAAATTATGAAAAATGTACAATTTAACATTTTTAATAAATAGTGACAAACTTATTCACATTGTGTCAATATATATTTACCTACTCATCCTTAACAAAAAAAGAGAAATGAATGACTGTTCAGGGATATCCATTTTAGGTTACTGGAACTAAAGGATCGTATTTTTTATACTGGGCAGGAGTTACATGTAAAATAAATCGGATTTTTCACTATTTAAATTGCTCCCTGGTAACGTGGCCTTTCGGAAAAGAAAATACCTAATTACGTATATGAAGAGCATGAAATATGCATTAATTTACCTTACAAGACGCTCTTGTTCAAAGGATACATTACTTACTAGACAAGTAGGGTCATGCAAAGAAGTCAAGAAGAGATATTGTGATAAAATGGTACCAATCTCAAAATCTGAGAGGACAAAAAAAAAAAAATTCTAGAAATGGCTTAAATAGTAATTACAAATACTCACTCAGTAGTAGAAACAAAGTTTTTATTTTCTTAATGGTGAAATTTGCTTTGTATGAAATTCACATTAAATTATGAAAATGTACAGTTGGGACTTCCCTTACATATTTACAGTTAAATGTACTTACACAGATTAGTTTAGGCAATGTTTAATCATTTAGAGTTAAAAAAAAGTTTGTTTTTTTTTCCCCCTAAATGTGAATTACATTCTGTAAAATTCCAGAATAAGGTAGCAAAATCATTTTTGTACTGTTTAAGATGAAACTTTTTATTTGGAAATTTTATTTTAATAATGTAAATATTCTAGAGTCATGGCTTGGACTTCATAAGCCAAGTGACCAAAAAATAAGGAAAGCATCTGCTGAGTTACTTAAAATTTTAATATTGAAAATTATTTTAAGGGAAAATTTAACTGATGCTGATTGTATACTGGTAATTTGCTAACCATTAAAAATTTCCCATAATGTTCTCGTTTTTTAATAGATTTATAAAATTATCTCTATCCTGAGATTAAGGAATGCAACCATAGTAGTTGTATTTCTATTACTGAGTATGTCGATATATCAGTTTTGTAGAACGAGGGAAATGTGATATAGATTATATTCTTTTCTCTTCTCTATTGAAACATTTTAAGCCTCAAACGAACCTATTATAAGTGTTCAGTAGCAATTTTGTTGACTTACTTGATGCAACAACATGGAAATTCATTACATTATTCTTCTGTCATAATACATGTGATATTCAGGTTCCCTTATTATAGTGCTCGGCTTTCTACAAAGGACCAGACGGTAAATCTTTTAAACCCCTTTGGTTACAAACATCTCTGTCATCTGTTTTTTTGTTTGCTTTTTTAAAAAATACTTTAAAATGTTAAAAAACAAACAAACAAAAATATTCTTAGCTCTGGACTATACAAAAACAGGTTGCAGGCTGATGTGGCCAAGAGCTGGGCAGTAGTTTGCCAATCTCTGCTCTACTGGAACTTCCCTTGATAGCTCCTTATGTCTCATCATATAACCTCAGGTGTATCTTATTTTTCATACAACTCTCTCTATGTTGTAATTCCTACTCATTAACAACAACAGCAACAACAGAAGTGCCACTCTTTTAATATTCTTATATAAGAAAAGTGTCGAAAATGTCCTCAGCATTTATGACTTTCAGAAGAAAAGTTTAGATCCTGGAGAAATTATCATAAAGTTCAGAACGTGTTTTATCCAAATTGTTTGACAAAGCTGAAAATCTATTACACTCAGCCTATATTCTGAAGTTTAACTACTATAGAACCGAAAGGGAAGCATGGCCTAAGTCCCATGATACCACAACTACCTCAGATTTAATGAAGTTTTTTTCTTTTATAACAATAGACACAGTTTATTTTTACTTCTTTATGTCTGCTGGTATATTGTGTGTGTGTAAGTGTGTGTGGTTTTGACTTGCAATCCAAACATCAATCTATTAAAAGGGGATTTAATTTACACAATTTAGATTAGAAAAATAGTTACATGTAAAGGCATAAGTTCTACACTTCTTAGATGTGATGTTTTACTTCGAATTTTGACTCTGTTACTAAGAGAGAAATCCCTTGTAAAGAAAGGCAGGGCAAGAACAAACTCATAATGGGTAGGAAAATATGGAAATCATTGGCAAGTCCCTGCTTTTGGGAAGTTCCAGTGGCATTAATGTCAATTGAGAAGGATGCAACAAGTTTACAAGTGGTATTGGAACTCTACTGTTTACTTGGCGTAACAACACTGAAGAATCCCTCAGACAAAGACCTTTGAATAAAATTCACCTAAGGCCCTAAGGCATACCCTCATTGTCTTTCTGGACTTTGAGCTAATCTAGATTCCAGCAGCACATTGGAAGGAATGGCCTTCACTGCCTCAAATGCAAACGCAGTCTCAGCCAGCAGACAACTTTAGACTGAATGAAATAGAAAACAAATAACAAACAAACAAAACAACACAAAATATACCTCACCGCTTGTTTTCAAACTCAGTGATCACAACTTTTGAAACCCCATTTGGTATCCAAGAGAATCAGTGGCCCCGTGTGTTGTCTTGTAAGCTAAGAAACCTAAGTTATGAAATCTATTTGACTCTAAAGTAACACAATTCACATCCTGGATTTTGATTTGACTGTATTTTGAAAAACAATCCCGTATTTAATGTAGTTACTTCCCCTGGATATAGCTTTGTTCTGAAATAAAATTGAAAAGAATTTTTAATTATTTTCTCCTCTTTCTAAACTGGATTTCTTAAGTTGCTCCTTCCTGGGGAAGTATCAAATATTGATGATGCTTGTAATATTAGGGAGAAAAGTTTAAATAAAGTGGTACATGTCTAAGTTAAAGAACAAGAAAGTGTTTTTGTTTTTAAGAGAACCAAATATGATTTTGTTCACCCCGAAAAATAGACTGTTTTAGTGCTTTAGGCATTAATTAAGCAAGTGGCCAGCTGTGATAAAGAAACTCTGCTTACTGATCATGAGGCAAACCACCAGAAAGACTGGAACAGGATCTCCTTAAGCCAGCCTTACCCCAAAACACTCAGGACAAGCAAATGATTTTCTACTGCATCTCTAAATTCTCTAGGATTCATAATGAAATAATGATCCATTCCATTTCACTCTTTACATAGGGTGGATCATTTGCATCTCTTCTATATTTTTTTTCAAATCTTGTAGCAAAATTTTTAGAAAGCAAACTTATTAGAAAACAAAAATGATGTCACTAGAAATATCAGGACAATTAACATTCCCAAGCATTGTTGGGGGACTGGGTGGAGCAATCAACTACCGTAGTAAACCAGTAGAAACAACCTTCCCATAACAGATATGCATGCAAAAGGAATGGGATACTATAGAGACTCAATACAATCAATGTATGTACATGGAGGTACAAAACACACGGTCTGTGAAGACAAATAAACTCCCTCAGATTCACTATACAGAACATCAATAGTGATAGATTACACTTATTTAGTAACAGCAAACTTAATTTTTGAAGGGAAAAAAATGAAGTATTAGCCCCAAAAAACAGCAAGAGAGGTATCATCAAAGAGCTAAAATTTTCTTTGGCATGGTAAAGGGGGAGAAATTGAGTTTACCAACTTATTTACATGACACTTCTCTCTCTGTGGGTGGCGCAATGCCATTTTGTTACATAAAGTTGTTTGATGTTTTTCAGTATGACTTCATATAAATATTTTATTCAGTATGTTGTATTTATGAATATAACAAATGATATTAGACACAGAAACTGTACAATGCAGACAAACTCTTTGCATATATGTATGTAAATTAAATTTAGTAATACATACCAACAGTTCTTGATACACAGGTCCTACGACATGCAGTTTATCAGTGCTATCCTCTTCCCATGCAGCAAATGAGACCAGACACAAAATAAATGATCTAACTAAATTACAAATAACAAGGACCCCTCTGCAAAATGTCTAAACATGTATTAGAAGAAGTATTTTGACATCATTTCATAGGGATAAATGCCCTTATCGACAACCCATACAAAAACAAAACAGAGGTTTGTGTTTACATAAATCTCAGTCATTTACAAAACTAAATCTTGTGTTAACTTTAACCAATAAACAAGCTTGCAGGGGAAAAAGAAATCAGCAAGTAGGGCTGATTACTGAAAACAAATAAGTGGAGTCACTTGATAGGGGCGTGTTTGTGTGTGTGTGTGTGTTATAAGTGTAGTGGGATAATCAGTGTCTATAAGCTCATCTAATTAGAATCACTAGTTAAATTATTCATATTTTTCCGCATATTACGGGAGTTATGTCATCTCTAAACAATTGGCTAATAAAATTTATCTGATGTATTTGAACTTTTCCTGTTTAAAACAATAGGCTTAAAAATGGAGTACCAAGAAAGCAAGAATTGTCAAAGGAACCATTTCTTGTATTTGTAATTTAGCATTATCAGCAATAACTCTACTCAAACTTTATGCTAACTTTTTATTTATTAAAATGGAATCCAATATGAAAATGAAATAAGCATAAACAGTTAAATTTATACTAAATCTTTAATCAGCTAAGCAGGCCAAAATTTTTAAATGTTGGGCAAAGACTGCCATGGAGATTAACGAAAGCAGTGACAAAATAATTTCCCAGTAAATACAGCGCAGATGGAGGAAAATGGTGGCTGGGTCATGATCCACACAGAATTAATAACAAGAGGCCAGCACATTGATCCCACATACAGTTTTCCATAAATGAGGTTCGGTTTGGTCTTAATTAACTCTTCTGAGAAGAAAACATTGGATTTTATTACGTATACAGAGAATTAACAGATACATTTCCAAACAGTTTAGTATTAAACCTTTTGAAACTCTATCTCCAATGTTGAACATTTTGCATGGTATCTTCACTGTGTAGTCAACTGTTCAGAGTGTTTCTTAGTAGTCTTCACTAAGCTCAGAGCTCAACAGTATTAAATGAAAAAGGAAATTAAGAAAGCAAAATAAAACAGAAGCAAATAAACTGAATGGACCAAAACCCTGATGTTTGAATGCGTTGATTTGCCTTTTATTTTTATCTAGAACAATTCAACAGACTGTATTCTGAGAGCATGGCAAGGTACCTCTAACCCAGCCATTGGGCATCAGGGGCCGTACAGGGCTGCTAGAGGTATGTACTGGAGAAATACACAGTACCGGACTCAGCATGCTGAGCTAAAAAAAATGTTTTTTCCTAATATGTCCAGTTTAAAAACTTGTCATTAAACACCAAAAATATTAAAGTCTAATTTATAACTAACGTTTGCATTGCTGCTGCAGAAAAGAACACAACAGCCGCCTTGCCCATGCTCTGCTGAGTATGAGTGGGATGCAGCCAAAAACGGGGATGGCATTAAGTTCAGTTCATTAAAAACAGGATTATATATGAAATGGATTTAGATAGCGTAATTCGCGTAGGTTGTAATTATCGGTTTTTCTTTTTTTTCCAAATAATGAGAATTAGTAGATGAAAAATGAACCTTAATCAGGCCTACAAGGCCTACAGAGTTCTTTGGACCCACTTTCCCAAAAACCAGTGGGTCTTGCTCGCTGGGCAAGGCAAATGTTACCATTACCAGTAAGCTTGTGATATGTATAAAACACACACACACACACACAAAGAAACTATAGGGGGATGTCAAACACAAATCCTAGAGAGCTTCTCATGGGGTGTGTTTGACCCATTTCCCACCCCGCCAATGCCGACCTTGGGGGCACAGTATCTGCTACTTGGATAGGGCATATATGTGTGTTTCATCGATAGTGTGAGCCAGACACAACAATTTTAATCTTTATAGATGCAATTTGTAATAATAGGTTTAGAAGGCTTCCTGATTCCCTGATTGCTCTCCAAACTCAGCCAACTGCAACGTTTGAGATTTCGAGGAACACAATCCCTGTAAAAGGTCACAGACAGTGGAGCGAGCAGCCCTGTAAAAACGGGGAAGAAGAGAAATCCATAATAGCACAGGTTTTACAGCGTCTAACTAGAAATTACTCAATAGTATTGGTGTGCTACAAAATTGAACTGAAACACACAGATTTCGCTGAAACAGGACTCAAAAAGGAATATGGGTAACTGTCAGCAGGCAAGGTATCAAGTGTACTTGTGAAGTATGTCACTCACATGAAGTGTCACAGTCACAGAAAATATATTAAAAAGGCATTCCATATCTGGTAGGGCATTCCACGGTCTGAGTTCAGCTGGTTATCCAGGTGTCTTCTTGCTGTGGGGGGTGCAACAGGTTGAGATTTATCCATTTGCGACAAGCAAGTTCTGAGACAGCAAAGAGCAAGCATCTGCTTACTTCCAGTGCTCCTCAGCCCCAGGAGCAGGAATGTCTTGTAAGGATAAATCACTCAACTGTGCTCAGGACGAATAAGTCACAACACCTGTGAGGATCTGGCTATGTTGTCTTACTCTTGTTCACTGGTTTGCCTCCATTCATTATTGCAGACGCGCTTGTGCTTTTACTTGGGGTCACGCCAGCCTTCGGGACCGTTTCTCCAACATCATGCAAAGATGGTTCTCGGTACATGGCAACTAGTGACACAAAGAAAGGCAGGAAGAAAGGAGGAAAGGAAATATTGCCTGGTTAGACTCAGGAACGGCCCAACATTGCACACACAAACGTCAGTAGTTTGCCTGTTCCTATTTTCCCTCAAGTAAAGCAATCTGCTTTGAGAATCTGAGATTGCTTTGAGATTTGAAGTAAATTCCCTTTGAGAGGGAATTCCTGTTTAAAGCAGTAATTTCCAGCCCCCAAACAGAAGACATTACTTTCCTCTACGTTATCTGGTGTCTGATAGACATACATGAATGTGCGTGGATTTTTTGTCCAGGAAAGAAGGTTTAAATGGGAACTATGGCCTCTTTGTGGTCCTGTGATAGCGCGCACACACACACACACACACACACACACACACACACACACACACACTCCAGGGGAATGACAAGCATTTAACCTATTTCTCTTTGAACGGCAGGGAAAACCCAAACCTCTCTTCCACTCTATACTAATATCAACACTTGAACCCTTCATTCCAATTAAACTTTATGATACTAGGTATTTATACTGCAAATGATTAAATTATTTTTCTCTCTAATGGATGAAAGGCAACATAGTCATGCTGGTGTCCACTTCAAAGCTACACAAAGCAATCACACAAAAACCTGCTTCCTTTAAACCTGGGCCTTCTGGAGAGGGTTGTTTGGATATCCCATCTTGCAATCATTGAAAAAGACCCTTAAACAACTGAAGGCAACTGTGTGTCTTTTTTTTTTTTTCATGTTTCATTTTCTGGTATGTTATTACAAATCTAATAATTGATGTTACATCAGGCAGAGGCACAGAATGGCTGGAGGGCAACTGGGGTTGATGTCTAAGTAAGCTGTGAGGAATTGTGTGAATAATACCTGGTGACATAACTAATCCCAATAGTCTGTGTGGCTTTTTAGAAAATGACTAGGAAATCCTAGAAAAGGACATTTAAGAGTGACTGATGCTTAGGGAAAACCAGTGAGTTGAAGTCATCTGCCATCAGAAATACAAGTGACTTACAGCTGCCCAACCTGCTTTTATTAGACTTTGAAAGTTTAAGATATTTGATGAAGAGCCCTTATGTTTACTTAGGCTAAATTACCATATGCATTCTCTATGTTCTCTACGTACAAGGCGGTGGAGTTTGATCTTTTGTATCAAGGCATACTATAATTTTTCAGCAGTTTACTTATTTGAAAGTGCACATGTACATCAGGGCTATAGTAAATGACTTGGCAAGACAGTAAAAAGGACTAATCCATTATCTTTTAAGTCCATTCCCATCTCTCACTCCACTACTAATTAAATTAGGAGACAATAGCATCAACCCACTGACCTTGATTGTCTATGCAGTGAGGTTGTAAAAGAGACAGGAATGCCTAAAACATCAGTAATTAATAAAGTACTCACTTTCTGTTAACATTTCCAATGATATAATTTTCATCCTTTATGGGCTTTGAAGGAGCCCTGGTAGGGCAGTGGTTAAGAGCTATGGCTGCTAACTCAAAGGTCAGCTATTCGAATCCACCACCCACTCCTCGGAAGCCCGATGGGGCAGTTCACCTCTGTCCTATAGGGTCACTATGAGTTGGAATCGACTCAACAACAACTGGTTTGGCTTTTTGGTTTATGGGCTTTGAAAGTTTGAAACTAAATTTCCTCTGGCAAATATACTATGTGATAATCTTTGTTATTTGAGTGCCCCTTTAATTGTTTTTTGAGTACTTCTGTCTGCTAATTGTTTGAAAACGTGATGAAAAATACTGCTTCTCTCTTTCTTACACACACACACACACACACACACACACGCACACACATCAGTTCAACTTATGATTGAAATACCAAGTAATATCATCATACTACACCTTTAGAGCCTCGGATATTTCCTACAGGATATAAAAAATAGCAGGTTTCTAAATTTTGCCTCAGTTAAGTTATATTAAAGTACTGATAATCCTTTTGGTTTTCATTACATTCACATAGCCAAGAAAGTTAGCCAATTCTTAGCTGTCTATATTGAAAACAAAATAAATGGAAAGAGACAATGCAAGGTGGCAAATAAACCAAGATCTTCATTAGAGCTGCTATGGACCTAGGTTTTTCTTATTCATTTACATTTGAATGTGAGTTTGTGGCCTTAAATTTCATTTAAAGTAATAAAATCGAGTCATGGATGTGTATTTGGAAGAAGAGAGAAACTCTTTAATTTCTTCTTTCTACTCTAATTCTCCTTATAATCTACCCTATAATGAGAATACTCCACTCATATTTCAGACTCCGGAATTACTTGTTTTATCTTAGACAAGCCCTGGAGGCTAATCGTTTGGGCTTCAATGAATTGCTCTAAAGGGAAATTTAATTTAAGGTGTTTGTAAGTCAGCAACATTGAAATTTTACAGATGGTATTAACCAACAAGAGTGGTTGTCCAAACTAAAGCAAACTGAAAACTGAATTATGCACACACAGATAATTAAGAAGTGACTATTCAAACCATCAAATTATCATATTCCTATATAGAAGAAGATGGGTTATAAAACCAGTATGCATTTTCTCTTAATGGCTAAGGTTTCCTGTAAGAATAAAAAAGAAAAAGAAAAGAAAATCAAGCTGTCTGCACTAGTTAGATAAACTGTTTATTCAGTTCCCTTAGATCTGATTTTCTGCAAAAGAGCAAGCCAAGTATTCAAATAAAAAACATTCTTGAAAAGTCTCAAAATAAATTTTGTGTAATTCTCAAAAAATAAGTTACTTAGATGAAAGTAAATGATACTTCCGATAGAATAATCAATGAGAAAGGTACAAGTGTTTCTGATTAACAAAACTTTTCTAAAGTGCTGTCTGGGGATCTGGTGACAGTAAACGCGAAGGCTTCATTCATTGTTTAAAAGTGAATGTAGAGAAATTATTTTAGTAAAGAAGGTAGTGCTACAACTGAATTTGGCAAGCAAATATGCAGGCTGAATGATGACATGAAACAGCAAAAGTTCATTAAAGTCAAGTTATTACTCTTTCATTTTCTGTAATTATACTAACGCATAAGTTTGAGAACTCGTTTTACCTAGATAACATCAAAATTGGTAAATACTCTTGGATTCATAAATTCAAACTTATTTTTTCTAATATACCTATATTCTCAGACATTTAAAATAAGATTACAAAAATGTTTAAATCAACTAATTATAATTATTTAGAGTCTAGAGGGATTGGGACCATGAGAATTTGAGGCATGGGAAGGAGGCAGAGAGGACGTTTATATCTGCAGGGCATAAAGGGCACAAATCTTAAATGCACAGCTTAAGTAGACCCCTGTGTGACCACCACCCAGATCAAGATAAAGGACATTCCCAGTACTCGTGAGAGTCGCTTGTAGCCGTGGCAGAGTTATCAATGTGAACAATAAAATGTAATTAATCTGATCAGGATAGAGCACATACAACACTCACCTTCCAATGGCTTGGGTAAAAAATGAGCTGCTGGTTTCGTTTTCTTTACTCTGTTTCCTTTCATAGCTTGCCCTTCCTTATTCAATCCCAAAAACCAGGCTCTACCGGATTCCTGTTGTCTGTACAGCATGGATGAGTAGATTACATAATAGTTTTCAAAAACAGATTCTTTAAACTTGCATTCAGGGGTAAAAAGTTCCTGTGGAGAGAAAAGAATGAGAAGAAAGAGGAAGGAATGAGAGCTTCCAACCAAAACCAAACCAAACCCACTGCCACTGAGTGGATTCCAACTCACAGCGACCCTAAAGGACAGAGTAGAATTGCCCCATAGGGTTTCCAAGTCTGTAAATCTTTACAGAGCAGACTGCCACATCTTCCTCCGTGAAGTGGCTGGTGGGTTTGAACCACCAACCTTTCAGTAAGCAGCCAAGTGCTTTAGTCACTGAACCAGAACTCCCTACAAGAGCTTCATTCTGTAGGTTTCTATTCATTAGTCCAGAAACTCTTCTACTATTGGTCAAAGAGTCAGCCCTTTGGCAGAGATGATCAAACACAGCTTTTCTATACACAGTAAATGGCCACTCTTTCTTTCCCCCCATATACAGTAGGAAGAGCAGTATCTGCTGCTTTGGAGAATATATGTAGTCAAAAAGTATGGATGTCCTTTAATAATAGAATGCATGACCAAACTTAAAATAATTTCCACTTTAACCCAATACAGTTCAAGAAGAGTGTGATAAAAAAAAAAGATCACATTAAAGTAGTATGCGTTGTCACAATAAACAAAAATAAAACATATATTTAAGGTAGTTTATCATCTATTTTAAATATTTTAATAGGGATAAATGCATATCTTACCAGTTGCCTGTTGTTAAATGAATTCACTGATATTAGAGGGTGATACAGTTTACCCACAAAGCTACAAACTGAAATTCCAAACTAAAGTCATGACAATCAGTGGGCACACAAGCTAGCCCCTCAGAGCCATTATTGTATAGCCAGCTGAGTCCAGGTGTCATGTTAGTTGGTCATGGTGACCAGAGCTGAAAATAATTACCTAATTCCACGGTTGGAAGCTCCATTGGAACTCTTGCAAATAAACATCAAAAGCTGCCTTGACATGAAAACCACCAGCATTTTTGGAAAGAATAGCGTGTGTTAAATACGATTAGGCTCAATGGCATACTCTCCATTGACTAATGCAGAGCATCAAGCTCACTATCATATGATTATTTAACGATCATGTTGATGCACCTATTCATGCATAACATTTTATACTGCTAAAAAGTATCATTTTAGAATGATAATAATACATATAATACCATTCTTGTTGATAAATTCGTAAGGTGCAACCTACATAAGCATGTATGGTTACCCTCTATTAAAAATAATTAAAAAATTCAACTTTCCCAGTTATAGATCATGAAAATCACTTAAATATTTTTTGTAGCTGTTTTAATTCAGCTCAAAATCCTACTCTTTTATGTGTACTTAAAATACGGATTCAAAAAAGAGAGCTTTATTGCCACTGATCATTTAAAGATATCATTGTCCTTTAAAATATACATATATATAACCTAATGTTTTCAGTTCATCATAATGGAGTTTATCATTGGACGAAATAATAACCTTGCTTTTGTTTTAGAAAATTCTTTACTGTACACATTATGAATAATGCAGAACTTTAAGGAGTTAAAAAATAAAGACTTCAAGAGTTGATTTATGCTAACTGTAATCAGAAATTCTGAGTGTTGACACACATTATGGCGTGTAGAAAATTGCTTTAAATATTAACCATGAGACTGTGAATTACAAAACGGTGTCTTTTGCAAGATACAATGTACTCAGGTTGTCCACCAACTCTATCTAATCCACTGATTGTTAATAGTTTTCCAAGGTGAACAGATTTTGTTAATGGCAAACGTTTTTCATTTAATACATTGATTAATATGTTGAGATTAAAATAGCCAAAAGACAGACTTAGCTCCCACTGCAAGGAATTTATTTACACCTTCATTTCTTCTAGATGATGCTACCTCATGTTGGAATATCATCCCATTCAAATAAATGTGCTGGCCTTCCACTCTGTTCTGTTTCTCCAAATGTCCTCCTATTGCTTCTCTATTAATATTAGTCTCACTGAGTCAATCTCCAGGTCATGCCTCAGAGGAAAGACTGATAAAATGGTGCATATTCACATACTTGAGATGAAGATAAGGAAATGGAAGGCTATAAATACGGCTTATTCCCAAGAGGCTAATAAATAGAGCATGTTGGTTGAAGCTACACCTTCTAGGACAAACAGATTACACATTGGCATGTCAGTTGTCCTGTTACTAAGGCAGGCCAAGGTATCCAAGCATAGTATTTACTAGCTAAAACCCATCTCCAACCAACTAGGAGTAAGATTCGTTAAGAGCTGACCTGGTAGATCACTCTGAGGAAGTCAGAGAGGCTGGTGCCTGCCACTAGGGCCTCAGGTCTCTGCCCAGAGCCCAGCTTATGATAGTGAGGGGGTCACTGATGTCCAAATTTTCTCTGCAGATGCCAGGACCTCCCTGCTTTGGAACCATAGGCCCATACATAGTCTGACCCTCATTCTCACCTGATGACCACTACCAAACTGTACAAGACATGGTGTGTGATGCTTACAGTACCATCAGAAATCAGGAATGTATTGTTTCCATGCTAAATTAAGTTCAGTGTGAAAGAGAATGAAGACCTTTAATGTGGAAGAAGTCATTCATTCTCAGTCTATACCTTAAGGACATCTCACACTAAATCATTCTATGTAATATATTTGCATCTTGGAGCTCTAAGGAAGTCAATTAAAAAAGTGAGAATGACCAACATAAACAAGATGTTCTTGACAGTAATTGTACAGTTAGTATGGTCATAGCTTTGTGTTTGGGTCCTACAATATGCTTTAGGGAGACAGACTGGGTTGCAAAGTCATTAGCATATAGGTGGAACCTGGAATAATGGGAATTGATGAGCTCTCCAGGGATCATGGCTACAGCAGGGCCCTATAATGACCACTTTTATACTGGAGTGAAGCAAGCTGACATAATCATGGCACAATTACGAGAATAAATGGCGCCTGACACCCAGGCTTCACGGTGGGCAAACAGTGGTAAAAGGAGCCACTGTTCCTCATATGGTTCCCCTGTAAAAATCAAAACCTTAATTTGTCCAAGCCCATAAAACTGTACAACACAAAGAGTGAATTCGAATGTAACTATGGACTATGGTTAATAGTAACATATCAATATAAGTTTGTCAATTGTAACCAATGCGCCACACTAAATGCAAGATGTTAGTAATAGGAGAAACTGTGCGCAGGAGGAAGAAAGACTATAGAAACTCTCCATACTTTCTGTGCAATTTTTCTGTACCTAAATCTACTCAAAAAATAACATCTATTTATTAAAAAAATGAATAGAGAGGAATCACAAGGAGATATTTTGAATAGTATGTTTCAATAAAGATTATGACTACAAAAAATATATATAAAATATATAAAAATCTTTAGTAGGTCTGATATTTCTAAGGAAGAAATGCAGTGTTCTACATAAAATCTCGTAATAGTGGCACTTGTTCTTGGTGTTCAGTATTGCGTGGAAAAGGGGGCTCAGCTGAGGCCTTTGATTCTCCTGTTTGAGATCTCCCATGGAGAGTGGCAAGAGAACTACAGAAAGAACGAACCCCAGGAAGCTTATCAATGCAGCTCCAATCTGATTTGTGGTTTATATACAGTTGACTAGCCGTCCCTGGGTGGTGCAAACGGTTAACGCACTTCAGCTCCTAACCAAAAGGTTCCAACTGCCAAAAGGTTGGAGGTTCAAGTCTATTCAGAGGTGCCTGGAAAAAGGCCTGGTGATCTACTTTTGAAAAATCAGGCATTGAAAACTCTATGAATATAAGAAAGACAAATACTCATTGACCATAATAGGAGTCAATTGACATTGTCTCAATAGAAAATAAAGAAATTAAGTTATTATAAACATACTGTTCAGAAGTTTCAGCATAAATACCCAAAGAAACATCTAGAAAAGTTGAAAGTGGTTGCCTCTGGGAAACCGAAATCAAATAATAATGACTGTAAACCAGACAGACTTCTTGCTCTTCTGGAGAATGTAAGTTAGCGGGAATTACACACAATAAATGAGCAATTATATAAAATAGTGTGAGAAGTGTTATGAGAGAAGTACAATCGGCGAAATGGAGCACTTGAGGAATGGCTCCTCTTTGCCAGGGAACTGTATCTGTTTATACGCTTACTGCTGAAAAATGTCATTAGAAGGATCTGTCTCTGTTCAGTGTCTTGACTGTGGTGGTGGACACACAAACCCCCACCAGTGATACAATCGCATAGAACTAACTACACACACTCACACAGGAGTACATTAAAACTGGAGAATCTGAATAAGATTGATGGACTATCAGTGTCAATCTCTTGGTTGTGATACTTTACCTACCAAACCAAACCAAACTTAGTACCTGGATTCGATTGCGACTCATAGCAACCTACGGGACAGAGTAGAACTGTCCCATAGGGTTTCCAAGGCTGTAAATCTTTATGGAAGCAGACTTCTACATCTTTCTCCCACGCAGCAGCTAGTAGGTTCCAACTGCCAACCTTTTGGTTAGCAGACGAGTGCTTTAGCCACTGCGCCACCAGGGCTCCTTATTTTACCTATGGTGGCGCAGTGGTTAAGAGCTAAGGCTGCTGACCAAAAGGTCGGCATTTGGAATCCACCAGCCGCTCCTTGGTAACCCTGCGGGGCAGTTCTACTCTGTCCTATAGAGTAACTATGAGTCGCAATAGACTCAACAGCAATTATTTTTTTTACAAAAATGTTACTACTGGGGGAACTGGGTAAAGTGTACAAGGATCTCTGTGAATCTACAACTACCTCAATAAAAAATTTTCAGTTTAAAAAAAAACCCTATAAAGCACAGTTCTACTCTGACACCGTGAGGTCTGCCTGAGTGGGAATCAACTACATGGTAAGTTTTGTTTTTATTTAATAGAGTTTACTAATATGATGATTGTACCAGTGAAACACTCTAAAGCTGGCAGTGATAATATGAGAATGTGTATTTAAATTTAATCTTCAATATAAACTCCTAGAAATTGCCACAGTGAGGTAGATGAGGAGTCTGATGTGCCTTTTTCCTCATCTTGCACACCTATAT